ATGGAAAGAAAACTTCAGGCCAATATCCGTGATGAACATAGAAGCAAAAATCTTCAATAAAATACTGGCAAACTGATTGTAACAGCACATCAAAAAGCTTATCCATCACTATCAAGTAGGCTTCATCCCAGGGATTCAAGTCTGGTTCAACATACTCAAATCTATAAACATAATTCACCACATAAACAGAACCAAAGACAAAAACTACATGATTATCTCAATAGGTGCAGAGAAGGCCTCCAATAAAATTCAGCAGCCCTTAATGTAAAAACTCTGAATAAACTAGGTATCGACGGAACATATCTCAAAATAATAAAAGCTATTTATGACAAACCCACAGCCAATATCATACTGAATGGGCAAAACTGGAAGCATTCTCTTTGAAATCTAGCACTAGACAAGGATGCCCTCTCTCACCACTCCTATTTAATAGAGTATTGGAAGTTCTAGCCAGAGCAATCAGGCAAGAAAAAGAAATAAAGGATATTCAATTAGGAAAGGAGGAAGTCATATTGTCTCTATTTGCAGACGATGTGGGTGTATATTTAGAAGATCCCATCATCTCAGCCCAAAATCTCCTTACTGATAAGCTTCTTCAGCAAAGTCTCAGGATACAAAATCAATGTGCAGAAATCACAAGCATTCCTATACACCAATAACAGACAGAGCCAAATCAAGAATGAACTGTCATTCACAATTGCTACAAAGAGAATCAAATACCTAGGAATACAACTAACAAAGGATGTAAAGGATCTCTTCAAGGAGAACTACGAACCACTGCTCAAGGAAATAAGAGAGGACACAAACAGATGGAAAAACATTCCATGCTTACGGTTAGGAAGAATCAATATTGTGAAAATGTCCATACTGCCCACAGTAATTTATAGATTCAGTACTATCTTCATCAAGCTACCTATGACAGCCTCTTCACAGAACTGGAAAAAACCACCTTAAACTTCATATGGAACCAAAAGAGAGCCCGCATAGCCACGTCAGTTCTAAGCAAAAAGAACAAAACTGGAGGCATCATGCTACCTGACTTCAAACTATACTACAAGGCAACAGTAATCAAAAGAGCGTGGGACTGGTACCAAAACAGAGATATAGACCAATGGAACAGAACAGAGGCCTTGGAAGTAACACCACACATCTACAACCATCTGATCTTTGACAAACCTAACAAAAACAAGCAATGGGGAAAGGATTCCCTGTTTAATAAATGGTGTTGGGAAAACTGGCTAGCCATGTGCAGAAAGCAGAAACTGGATCCTTTCCTGACACCTTACACTAAAATTAACTCCAGATGGATTAAAGACTTAAACATAAGACCTAACACCATAAAAACCCTAGAAGAAAATCTAGGCAAAACCATTCAGGATATAGGCATAGGCAAGGACTTCATGACCAAAACACCAAAAGCATTGACGACAAAAGCCAAAATAGTCAAATGGGATCGAATTAAACTCCACAGCTTCTACACAGCAAAAGAAACAATCATTAGAGTGAAGCAGCCACCAACAGAACGGGAAAAAGTTTTTGCAATCTACGCATCTGACAAAGGGCCAATATCCAGAATCTACAAAGAACTAAAACAGACTTACAAGAAAAAAAACAAACCCATTTAAAAGTGGGCAAAGGATATGAACAGACTTTTTTCAAAAGAAGGCATATATGAGGCCAATAAACCTATGAAAAAATGCTCATCATCACTGGTCATCAGAGAAATGCAAATCAAAACCATGTTGAGATACCATCTCATGCTGCTTAGAATGATGATCATTAAAAAATCTGGAGACAATAGATGCTGGAGAGGATGTGGAGAAATAGGAACACTTTTACACTGTTGGTGGGAGTGTAAATTAATTCAGCCATTGGGAAAGACAGCATGATGCTTCCTCAAGGACCTAGAAACAAAAGTTCTATTTGACCCAGCAATCCCATTACTGGGTATGTATCCAAAGGATTATAAATTCTTCTGCTATAAGGACACATGCACATGAGTGTTCATTGCAGCACTGTTTACAATAGCAAAGACCTGGAACCAACCCAAATGCCCTCAATGATAGATGAGACAAGGAAAATGTGGCACATGGAATGCTATACAGCCATAAAAAATGATGAGTTTGTGTTCTTTATAGGGACATGGATGAATCTGGAAACCATCATTCTCAGCAAACTGACGAAAAATAGAAAATCCAACACCACTTGTTATCATAGGCAGATGTTGAATAATGAGAACACATGGACACAGGGAGGGGGGCATCACATTCTGGGGTCTGTTGCCAGGGAATAAGGGAGGGACAGTGCGGGTAGAGAGGTTGGGGAGGGATAACCTGGGGAGACATGCTAGATATAGGTGACGGGAGGATGGAGACAGCAGACCGCATTGCCATATGTGTACTTGTGCAACAATCCTGCATGTTCTGCACATGTACCCCAGAACCTAAAGTGCAATAAAATATATTTTTAAAAAAACAGAACTGCATTCCAATAAAACTTTATTTGTAAAAATAAGAAGCTTCCCCACAGGTTGAATTTTACCCGTCCCTATTACGTGATCATGATTGTGAATAAAGACAGTTTTACTTCTTCCTTTCAACCCAGATAGCTTTTATTTCCTTTTCTTGCCTAACTGCACTGGCTTCAGTACAATGCTGCTCAAATAGTGAAAGGAGACATTCCTGTGTTCCTGATCTTACAGGGAAAGCATTCAGTTTTTCATCATGATGCGTGTTAGTTGTAGATTTATCAGAGATGCTCTTTATCATGCTGATGGCCTTCCCTTGTATTCTTTAGTTACTAAGAGGAATTTTTTTTTAAATCAGGAATGAATGTTGTATTTTATCAAATGCCTGTATCTACTGAGATGGTCATATGGTTCTTCTCTTTTAGTTTGTTAATGTCGTGAATAACTGATGTGAAATCAACCCTGTGTTTTGGGATCAACCTCACTTGTTTACGATGTATTATCCTTCTAATATATTAGATTTGCCAAAATTTTATTTAGAAATTTTTAGAAGGCTATCTTTTAGAGTAGTTTTAGCTTCACAGCCAAACTGAAAATAAGGCACAAAGATTATCCTGTACTACCTGCCCCCGACATGTTCATAGCCTCCACAATTATCAGTCTCCCTCACCAGAGTGGTATAGTTGATCTCATTGATGATCCTGAATTGACATATCATAATCACCCAAAGTCTATAGTTTATATTAGAGTTCAGTCTAAGGACATGTATTTATCATTGTAGTAGTATCCAAAGTAGTTTCAGAGTTTTAAAACTCCTTTGTGCTCCATCTGTTCATCTTTTCCCACCTTCCCCAACTCCTGGCTACCACTGATTTTTTTTACTGTCTCTATAGTTTTGCCTTTTCTAAAATGTCATATAGTTGGTATTCTACAATGTGCAGCCTTTAGACTGCATATTTCACTTGGTAATATGCCTTTGTGGTTCCTTCATGTCTTCTCATGACATGATAGCTCATTATTGCATGGTTGTACCAGAGGTGGTTCTGTCACCTAAAGGAGGGTATCTTGGTTTCTTCAGAAAGTGGTTAAATTTTTATGTCCACGTTCATGAGGGAGTTTTTCTTTTTTGTAGTATCATTGTCAGATTTTGGTTCAGGGTAATGCTAGAGTGACAGAATAAGTTGTATTTCTCCCTTTTTTTTTTTTTTTTTTGAGGGCTAGGGGAGAGGCCATGTAAAATTGTTATATTACTTATTAAATATGTGGTAGAATTCACCAGACCATAGCTATCTGGGCCTGGAGTTTCCTTTCTAGGAAGGCTTTACTTATGCTTTGTTTTCTTTTATAGATATAGAACAGTTCAGGTTATTCCTTCTTGATTAACTGTGGTAGTTTTTATTTTTCAAGGAAAGTGTCCGTTTCATTAAAGTTGTCATGTTTAGTCACATAAAGCTGACCTTATTATATTGCTATTCTTTTAGTGTCTGTAGAATCTATAAAATGTCATGTTACTATGTTTCTGAAATTAGTAATTTGCATCTTTTTTTTTTTTTTTTGAGACGGAGTTTCGCTCTTGTTACCCAGGCTGGAGCGCAATGGCGCGATCTCGGCTCACCGCAACCTCCGCCTCCTGGGTTCAGGCAATTCTCCTGCCTCAGCCTCCCTAGTAGCTGGGATTACAGGCACGTGCCACCGTGCCCAGCTAATTTTTGTATTTTTAGTAGAGACGGGGTTTCACCATGTTGACCAGGATGGTCTCGATCTCTTGACCTCGTGATCCACCCGCCTCGGCCTCCTAAAGTGCTGGGATTACAGGCGTGAGCCACCGCGCCCGGCTGCATCTTCTTTTTTATGATCAACCTGACTAGATAGTTTTATCACTTTTTTTGACCTCCTCAAACTGTTTGGTTTTAATTGATTTTTTTTCCTATTGTTTTTCTGTTTTATTGGTTTCATCTTTGATGTTACGGTCTGTTCGGCCCGCTATAACAAAATACTGTAGACTGGGTGGCTTATAAACAACAGAAATAGATTTCTCACGGAAGTCCAGCATCCAGGTGATGGCAGATTTGGTGTCTGGTGAGGGACCAATTCCAGGTTCATAGATCCCTTTTTGCCCCCTGTGTCCTCACATGGCAGAATGGGTAAATGATCCCTCTGGGGTCTATTATATAAGAGCACTAATCGCATTCATGAGGCTTGGCTCCCAGGAGCTAATTACCTCCACAAAGCCCCACCTTCTGATAACATCACCTCTGTGATTAAGTTTCAGCATAAGCTTAATAACATAAACTTAAGTTCTGGGAAGATGCAAATGTCAACCATGGCATATGTTTATTTATTCATTTATTTATTGCTGGTAGAGTCTTTATTAGATGGTTATTGCTGTACTACAGAGTCAGATGAGTGCCGTGTAAGCAGTGTCAGAGGCCTGTGTGTTCAGCCCAGGAATGTGGATCTTCTCTCCCTGTTGATCACAGTGGGTAGGTTTCTTCAGAAAAGCCCCAGAGGCGGGGACCCGTGAGCCCCAAGGTTAGAAGTAGAAGTGGAAGGCCTCGGTCACATGCTGCTTCCACGCTTCCAGGCTGGGCAGGCAAGGAGGAGATGCCCATGACGTGCCAGGTCTCCCCGTCTGACATCAGTAAAGTCTGGTAGGACAGCAGCCGCATGCCTGCCTCTGCCAGGAGGCCAGTCATGGTAGGCAGCATTGCAGGGTCAGAAGCCTGAATCTGGAATAGGAGCAGGGACAGGCCCCTGCGGAGAGGCACTTTCGGCCTGAAGACAGCTCCACTGAGCCCCTGCAGCACAGGTGTGGTGCCTTGGACCAAACCCACAGCCTGGTAAGGGGCGCCTGCCAAGGCCACAGCCAGGAGACATTCCCCGAAGCCCTGCTCCCCTGGTGGTGCCGGGCTGTGGGAGGTGGTGACATTGAGGCCAGCCTCTTTCACCAGCAGCTTGACGTTCACTAAGTTCACATCCTCCTGCTTGGAAGCCTCCTTCAAGAGGCCGACGATGACTGCAGGGCTTAGGCAGTTCCCAGCATTCTTCAGGGATGTTCCTTGTGTTATCACCTGGATAGTCCCTTTGGGAGACCCAGCCCAGGCTCGCATCAGTGTCCCCCGAGCTTCTGCCAGACCAATCCAAGGCTTGGTATGTGGAGAGAAGGCGCTGGTAAGGGCCTGGGCATTTACAAGCCCTGTGAGAGCTTCACCATGTCCACGAACTGAACAGCAATTTCCTCCCCACAGCGGCTCTTCGCCTTTTTGGTGCTCACACCCAGGTGGGGACAGCTGATGACATTCTCATGGTCCATCAAATTTCGGTCCCGTGGTGGCTCTTCCGTAAACACGTCCAGCGCAGCCTCGGCACACTGGCCCGACTGCAGGGCCCGGAGCAGGGCACCTTCGTCCACGATCCCTCCGCAGGCACAGTTCACCACATGTACCCCCTTCTTGCACTGGGCACAGGTGCTGTTGTTGGATAAGCCTCTGGTGGAGGGCAGGAGAGGAGTGTGCACAGTGATGAAATCACAGAGAGGCCAGATCTCCTCCAGGGGCAGCTGCTGAAACACCAAAGGAGGCCGAGACCTCTGGGGAAATGATGGGGTCATACCCTATCGTCTTCATCCCAAAGGACTGCATCCGGGTAGCCACCTCTCTCCCAATCCTTCCCAGGCCAAGAATTCCCAGGGTCTTTCCATTCAGCTCTGTTCCCATGAACTGCAGCTTGGCGATCAGCTCCTCTCTGCTAAGGTTCTTCTTCTCCATCACCTGCAGCCCTCCATTTTGCAAGATCCTCCTTCAGCAAGGGTCCAGGCTGTCACTGATGAGCACTTTCCGCAGATTTGCAAAGGCCGTTGCTGGAGGTGGCCTCGGAATCGGCCGCTGCAAGTGGAGGTGCTTAAGCCGAGAAGCTGCGTTTGGGCCTGGCGTGCCGGAGTCGGCGTATGTTTATTATGTCATTTCCTCTGCTTGCTTTGGGTTTAATTTGTTCTTTTTTTAGTTTCTTCTTCTTTTTTTTTTTGGGGGGTGGGTTGCTTAAGATAGAAGTCAAGACCATTGACTTGAAAGTTCTAATATAGACATTAAGTGCTAAAAAAATTTTAAGTACTGTTGTGGCTGTTTCACAGATGTTGATATGTAGTATTTTCATTTCGTTCACAATACTCTTAATTTCTCTTTGCATCATGTCTTTGACTAGGGTTATTTAGATGTGTATTAGTTTTTGAATATTTTGATAAGATATTTTGTTATTGATTTCTGATTTGATTGCTTTGTGGTCAGAGAACATACTTTGTATGAGTTAAATCCTTCTGACTTAGTTCTTTTACTAAGCTTGATTGCAGAACCTAGAATGTGTTGTGTTTTGGAAAGTGCTCCCCGAGTACTAGAGAAGCATGGTGGTGTTCAAGTCTACCCCTTCTTGCTGATTTGCTGCTCCCTTGTTTTATCACTTACTGAGTAATATTCAAATGTCAGACCGTACTTGTGAATTCGTCTATTTGTTCTATCAATTTTTGCCTCATACATTTTGAAGCTGTTATTAGGTACACAGTCATTTAAGATTACATGTTCTTGATTAACTGAACTTTTAAAAGTCATGAGGAAATGACTGTTTATAGCTGGTAAATATTTTTGCTGTGTGAAATTTACTTTGGTGTTAACATAGCCATTTCTTCTCAGGCTTCTTTTGTCAACTCTTAACCTGCTATATCTTTTTCCGTCCTTCTGAACAATTTGTGTTTTAAAATTTAAAGTGTTTTTCTTTTCTTTCTTCCTTTTTTTTTTTTTGAAACAGAGTCTCACTCTGTTGCCCGGCTGGAGTGCAGTGGCACAACTTCGGCTTACTGTAACCTCTGCCTCCTGGGTTCAAGTGATTCTCCTGCCTCAGCCTCCCGAGTAGCTGGGGGTTACAGTTGCATGCCACTACACCCGGCGTATTTTTAGTAGAGACAGGGTTTCACCATGTTGGCTAGGCTGGTCTTGAACTCCTGACCTTGTGATCCTCCTGTCTCAGCCTCCCAATGTACTGGGATTATGGGCGTGGGCCACTGCACCCAGCCTAAAGTTCTTTTTTTTTTCTTTTTTATAGGAAGCATGTAGTAGGTTCTTGCATTTTAATCCAATCTGATAATCTGCCTTGTAAATGAGATTTTTAGGCTAGTTTCATTTATAATGTGCTTATTGATACAGTTAGGTTTATCTGTCATCATGCTTTTTGATTTTCATTGATCCCTGCCGTTCTTTGTTCTCTTCTTTTTCTGTTTTCTTCTCAATCAGTCTAGTAATTTTTGTGATTTATTTTTAATTTCCCTTTTATGACTTATTAGCAATAACTATTTTTTTCTATCTCAGTGGTTGCACTACAATTTATAGTATATGATTTTAACTGATCACAGTCCATTTTCAAAAATATTATGCCATGCCACATACGGCATAAGAAAATTACACACACACACACACAAAGAAAATTACAAATGAAAAACCAAACATCATATGTTCTCACTCTGCTGTGAGGATGCAAGGACATAAGAATGATACAATGGAGGTTGGGGACTTGGGGGCAAAGTGTGGGAGGGGGGTGAGGGATAAAAGGCTATATATACTAATATACTTTTATTTCCTCTCTGCCAGCCAGACACTTCTGGATTTGTAGGGTTATAGTTTTCTTTAAATTTAAAAAGTTTTGGCCATTCTCTTTATATTTTTTTGTCTCTCTTTTTCCCTCTTTTGGGACTTATTCCTGCTTGAAGTTTTCTCGTAGTTCACTGATGTCTCAAATTTATGAAACTTCTCTTTGGTGATGTCTAATCTGTGTTCACTTCCATCCATTGTAGTTTTCATTCCTGATATTGTAATTTGAATCTCTACAAGAGTATTTTGCTTTAAAATATATAATCTTCCATGCCTCTGCCAATCTGCTTGAGCTTAATTTTGATATACAGTTGAGTTCCATATGAACAGCTTGATCTTTCCGGTCTTCCTTTTATGATTTGGTCGAATTTCCCACTCCTGAGGCAAGATCTTTGTGATGGCTCTATTCATTCCCATGTTAAGTCTGAGTTTTCCCAGCATCACTCATGGGAATGGACATTCTTTTTGGCACCTTGTGAGCAGCAGGCATGTTTCTTCCCCTTGGTCTGGGGCAGTTTTCTGGCACATATGCACTGTTCAGTACTCTGCTAGATACACAGGAGGTATTTTTGCAGATCTTCAGTGTTCTTTCCCTGTACTTTGTCTCCTTTCCAGTGTTCTGTTTTGCGATCTCTGTCTGCCTTGGCTTTACCAGACTCTCAGCTTCATCATCTCATCTCAGGGAATCTGGTAGACTCTGTCAGTTTTTTCTCTCTGTGTGATAGCCTGGAAACTCTGTGAAGGCAGGGAGCTGGAGCGTTGGTATGAATTCCATTTGTTTCCTGTCTTACGGGATCATTGCCTTCATTACCTGAAGTCCACTGCCTGGTAAATCATTGTATAATATATTTTTTCTGTTTTCCTTTTGGTTATTTCAGGCAAGAAGGTAAACCAGCACTTGCTGTCCATCGTGGCCAGAAGCAAATTGCAGCAGAGCTTCGGCACCTGCTGTCGACTGCTAGAATGCTTTTCTGCCCCTTTGCTTAAGTGCTTCCTTCTCACCCTTCGTTTCTTGGTGTAGTCATCTCTTCCTCAGGGAAATCTTTCGTGGGCCCAGTATGATGAAATTCTCCTATGTGATCATGGAACTCTGTTTTCTTACACCATCTACCTGAATTTGTAATTGTCACTTTTGTTGTCTTTGTTCCCCACTACACTTAAGACTAAATGAAAGTAGAGGTCTCGTCTGTTTTATCTGCAGAGCTTAGTGGAATGTCTGCCACACTGTAGGCACTCAGTGCATATTTGTTCTGTGTATGAAGGAGACAGTGTTTAAAAATGCACAGTCCTTTTTACCTAAAAAGTACTCATATGTTTTATTTCCACCTTGTTTTCTCCCTGACACAGATTCTGTTAGCCTATCTAGAATCAAGGATGAATTTCATTTATATGAACACTTACTGGAACTTAAGAATAATGAAGATTGCGCAGTAGTGCTAGCGGCTTCGTGTTTCGGTACCTCGGACCCGGCAGCCGCTTTTGGTGCTAAGCTGCAAGGAAGTGCCTCTCGGCTAGCTCATTGGAGCTTGAACCCATTGTCACCCCTCCGACTTACCAGCAAAAAAAACAAAAAATAATGGTTGAAGCAGATCGCCCAGGAAAGCTCTTCATTGGTGGGCTTAATATGGAAACAAATGAGAAAGCCCTTGAAGCAGTATTTGGCAAATATGGACGAATAGTGGAAGTACTCTTGATGAAAGACTGTGAAACCAACAAATCAAGAGGATTTGCTTTTGTCACCTTTGAAAGCCCAGCAGACGCTAAGGATGCAGCCAGAGACATGAATGGAAAGTCATTAGACGGAAAAGCCGTCAAAGTGGAACAAGCCACCAAACCATCATTTGAAAGTGGTAGACGTGGGCCACCTCCATCTTCAAGAAGTAGAGGCCCTCCAAGAGGTCTTAGAGTTGGAAGAGGAGGAAGTGGAGGAACCAGGGGACCTCCCTCACAGGGAGGACACGTGGATGACGGTGGATATTCCATGAATTTTAACATGAGTTCTTCCAGGGAACCACTCCCAGTAAAAAGAGGACCACCACCAAGAAGTGGGGTTCCTCCTGCTAAGAGATGTGCACCTTCAGGACCAGTTCGCAGCAGCAGTGGAATGGGAGGAAGAGCTCCTGTATCACGTGGAAGAGATAGTTACGGAGGTCCACCTCGAAGAGAACCGCTGCCTTCTTGTAGAGATGTTTATTTGTCCCCAAGAGAATGATGGGTTTTCTACTAAAGACAGCTATTCCAGCAGAGATTACCCAAGTTCTCGTGATACAAGAGATTATGCACCACCACCACGAGATTATACTTACCGTGACTGTGGTCATTCCAGTTCACGTGATCACTATCCATCAAGCGGCTATAGCGATAGAGATGGATATGGTCGTGATCATGACTATTCAGATCATCCAAGTGGAGGTTCCTACAGAGACTCATGAGAGTTATGGTAACTCATGTAGTGCTCCACCTACACGAGGGCCCCCGCCATCTTATGGTGGAAGCAGTCGCTATGATGCTTACAGCAGCTTACGTGACGGATATGTGGAAGTCGAGACAGTTACTCAAGCAGCCGAAGTGATCACTACTCAAGTGGTCCTCCACGTGATTCCTACAGCAGTTCAAGCCGCGGAGCACCAAGAGGGGTGACCGTGGAGGAAGCCGATCTGATAGACGGGGAGGCAGAAGCAGATACTAGAAACAAACAAAACTTTGGACCAAAATCCCAGTTCAAAGAAACAAACAAAAAGTGGAAACTATTCTGTCATAACTACCCAAGGACTACTAAAAAGAAAAATTGTGTTACCTTTTTAAAATTCCCTGTTAAGTTCCCCTCCATAATTTTTATGTTCTTGTGAGGAAAAAAGTAAAACATGTTTAATATTATTTGACTTTATGACATTGCTTTTCAACAAGCAAATGTTAAATGTGTTAAGACTTGTTGTACTAGTGTTGTAACTTTCCAAGTCCCTAAAGGCCACTTCCTATATGATTTTTACCCATAAGTGAGGCAAGCAATTCAAAGATCTTCCACAAAACATCTAGCCATCTAAAATGGAGAGGTGAATCATTCTGCCTATACAAACAAACTAG